GTCATGGAAGCTCCACAGACACATCCAAACTCCCAGAGGGGCTGAATTGCTGGGCGGAGGGCTGTGGGGACCATGGTCTCCAGGAAGATCTAGCTCAACTGGCATGTTATAGGTTTATAAAGAAAATGTTCTACATTCTACCTTGGTGAGTAGGGTCTGGGGTCTTAAAAGCCTGTGAGCAGCCATCTAAGATACTCCACTGGTCTCACCCCTTTGGGAGCCAGGGAGAATGAAGAAAACAAGATACAAGGAAAAGTTTAGTCCAAAGGACTAATGGACCACAGCTACCATGGCTTCCACCACACTGAGTCTAGTACAACTAGATGGTGCCTGGCTACCACCACTGACTGCTCTGACTGGGATCACAACAGAGGGTCCTGGACAGAGCTGGAGAAAAATGTAGAACAAAATTCTAACTCACAGAAAAAGACCAGACTTACTGGCCTGACAGAGACTGAAAAAACCCTGAGAGTATAGCCCCCAGACACCCTTTTAGCTCAATAATGAAGTCACTCCCGAGGTTCACCCTTCAGCCAAAGATTAGACAGCCCCATAAAACAAAATGAGACTAATGGGGCACAACAGTCCAGGGACAAGGACTAGAAGACAGGAGGGGACAGGAAAGCTGGTAATAGGGAACCCAAGGTTGAGAAGGGACAGTGTTGACATGTTGTGGGATTGTTAACCATTGTCATAAAACAATATGTGTACTGTTTAATGAGAAACTACTCTGTAAACCTTCATCTAATGTACTATAAAAAAAAATTCAAAAAACAAATGTATATACATCCCACAAAAAAAAAAAGATAACACTGAAAAGATGAAATTAGTAAACAGGGAAATAATTTCACCCTTACTTAACAGGCCTTTCAGATTAATCTCTGAATGACACCAAAAGGCCAAGATAAGAAATGCAGGCAGGGAATGCAAGCAAACTCTTTTTTAAAGGATCGTTTTTTATAATATATGACTTGAACATAGTCATTTGTGATAAAACAGCAGACATTAACAATGTCCTAAAACACTTTAATTTTCCATCATTTTCTGTTTGCTTATTTAAGAACTTTCAGTTTCAAACCGAAATAAAACAAGCTTTCTCTCCTGAAAAAGAAAAAAAACCTGTCTTATGCAGATGACACAACCTTCCTTGCTGAAAGTGAAGAGGATCTGAAGCACTTACTGATAAAGATCACAGGCCACAGGCTTCAGTATGGATTACAGCTCAACATAAAGAAAACAAAAATCCTCACAACTGGACCAATAAGCAACGTCATGATAAACGTTGTCAAGGATTTCATTTTACTTGGATTCACAATCAACACCCATGGAAGCAGCAGTCAAGAAATCAAACGACACACTACATTGAGCAAATTTGCTGCAAAAGACCTCTTTGAAGTGTTCAGAAGCAAAGATGTCACCTTGAAGACTAAGGTGCGCCTGACCCAAGCCATGGTGTTTTCAATCGCCTCATATGCATGCAAAAGCTGGACAATGAATAAGGAATACCAAAAAACAATTTATGCCTTTGAATTATGGTGTTGGAGAAGAATATTGAATATACCATGGACTGTCAAGAGAATGAACAAATCTGTCTTGGAAGAAATACAGCCAGGATGCTCCTTAGAAGAAAAGATGGCAAGACTATGTCTCACATACTTTGGACATGTTATCAGAAGGGACCAGTCCCTGGAGAAGGACATCACGCTTGGTAAAGCAGAGGGCCAGCAAAAAAGAGGAAGACCTCAACGAGATGGATGGACACAGCAGCTGCCAACAATGAGCTCAAGCATAACAACAATTGTGAGGATGGCACAGGACTGGACAGTGTTTCATTCTGTTGTACATGCGGTCGCTGAGACGTAACTAACTTGACGGCACCTAACAACAACATGCGGATGCTGTGCAGAACATGCTTAGTCTTGGTTTTCTCATCTAATTTCCCATTAAACAACAATTCAAACGGGCCTAATAGGTGGAGCCCTGGTGATACAGTGGTTAAAGCGGTCAAATGCTAACCGAAAAGTAGGTGGTTCAGACCCACTAGCCACTCCGTGGAAGAAAGATGTGGCAACTGCTTCCGTAAAGATTTACAGCCTTGGAAACCCTATGGGGCAGTTCTACTGTCTCCTGTAGGGTCACTATGAGTTGGAATTGACTCGACAGCAATGGGTTTGGTTGGTTTTGAAGTGGCATAAAGGCATTCAAGTGTGCAGATCATAACAAATTATGGATAACATTACAAAGAATGGGAATTCCGGAACACTTGTGTTCATGTGGAACCTGTACATAGATCAAGAGGCAATCAAACAGAATAAGGGAATACTGTGTGGTTTAAAATCAGAGATTGATTAAAATGCTGAGCAGATAACCCAAGAAGCTGGACTATATGAAGAAGAACCTAGCATCAAAATTGGAGGAAGACTCATTAACAACATGCAATATGCCAATGACACAACCTTGCTTGCTGAAAATGAGGATGACTTGAAGTACTTACTGATGAAGGCAAAAGACTACAGCCTTCAGGATGGATTATGCCTGAACGCAAAGAAAACAAAAATCCTCACAACTGGGCCAATAAACAACACCATGACAGATGGTGAAGAAATTGAAGTTGTCATGGATTTCATGCTACCTGGATCTACAATCAATGCTCATGGAAGCAGCAGTCAAGAAATCAAATGACATACTGCATTGAGCAAATCTGCTGCAAAAGACTTCTTTAAAATCTTAAAAAGCAAAGACGTCATTTTGATAAAAGGTACACCTGACCCAAGCCATGGTATTTTTAATCGCCGCATAGGCATGAAAAAGCTGGACAATGAAAAAGGAAGACCAAAGAAAAACCGACACGTTCAAACTGTGGTGTTGGCGAAAAATACTGAATATATACCATGGACTGCCAAAAGAACAAACAAATCAGTCTTGGAGGAAGTACAGCCAGAGTCCTCCTTAGAAGTGAGATGGTAAGACTTTGTCACATTTACTTTGGAAACGTCATCAGGAGAGACCAATTGCTGGAGAAGGACATCATCCTTGGTAAAGTAGAAGGTCAGCAAAAGGGGAACTTCGATGAGATGGATTGACACAGTGGCTGCAACAGTGGGCTTAAACATACCAACAAGTGTGAAGAGGGCACAGGATCAGACACTTCCTTCTGTTATACATAAGGTTGCTGTGAATCAGAGCCAACTCGACGGCAACTAACAATAGTTAAGTGGGTGGCGCAAACGGTTCGCACTCGACTAAAAGTTGGTGTTTGAACCCACCAGCAGCACTGCGGAAGAAAGGTCTGGAGATCTGCTTCCACAAAGATTACAGCCAAGAAAACCCTACGGAGCAGTTCTAGTCTGTAACACATGGGGTCACCATGAGTCAAAATCAACTGGATGGCAATGGGTTTAGATTTGGGTTTTTAGTAGGTGCCAGGACCTGAGTACGGGGCCGAAGATGAGTAAGTAAGACTGGTTTAGGGCAGACTCCTAAACACATTCTACGATATAGCTTGCACTTACCCTCGTGAATTCACATCTAAAATCAAGAAACCCAGTCAATGTACACCAATGTTCATTGCAGCATTCATTATTCACATTCGCCAAAAGATGGAAACAACCTAAACATCTATCAACAGATGAATGTATAAACAAAATGTGGTACATACATACAATGAAATATTATTCAGCCATAAAGAGAAATGAAGTTCTAACACATGCCATGACATGGATGAACCTTAAAAACATGCTAAGTGAAATAGTCACAAAACGACAAATGCTGTATGATTCCACTTATATGAAATATCTAGAATAGGCAAGTGTATAAGCTTAGTAGTGGTTACCAGGGGCAGGAGGGAGGGGAGGAAGGGAGACTGCTTGCTTAGGGACACTGAGCTTCTATTAACAGTAATAGTTGCTGAACATGATGAAAACAATGTCACTGTGAAGAATTTTGAAATGGCAAATGTTTTGTTACATATATATTTACCACAACTGAAAAAAAAAAAAAAGATACGAACAAGATGAAACCCAAAGTCCAAAGTCGAATTCCCCTTGGGTTTGGGCTACATAAGCTAGCAGATCCTGCTTTCCTAGGGCACACAGGAGACACCTGTCAAAACTAAGCACTAGGCTTAATCACTGATTTTGTACACATAAAATACCACTAGCCTTGAGCAAGTGTACTTGTTTTTAGATAAAGCCAATATGCAGAAATTGTGATTTATACAACAGAAACTAAAACATGTTGATAATCCCCATACACAAATAAAGAAACCCCAGTCATGACATACCTACCTGCACAAATTCTAAATGTCTACTACTGTCTGCCTCATAAGTTTTAACACGTTCCTTTTCAGGTAAGATACAGAAATGGGAGCTAAAGGGTGATCTACTATGCCATTAGTACCAACATTTACCACAGAGACCCTGTTCTATCCAGAAAATGAGTCTGGGAGAAGGGAACGGTAAAACCGCACATGAGTAGGATACATTAGTACTATAAAACTCAAACGTGGATCTTGGGTCCCTCGTCCAGCAGGTTAGGTCTCTCTGTAAGACTCCAGAAACATTTTTAACCTGATACTACAAAAGTCGGAGGCTACTTGACTGCAACACTGGGACTTGGATGGCAAAGACTGTGCCATCAGGAAGAGCCCAAGAACCTTAGATCCACTAAGGGGAATGATCCTCCAGGTTGGGGGAGCCTTCCATCACAGACAACAGGAAGCCCAAAATGCTATAAAGAGTATATTGATTTAGCTACTTCTTTTGCAATCCTACTTTGCTACAGTTTTCAATAAACTTTAGCACCTAGCAATAAATCAGACCTAAAGATGGATTTAGAAATCTAAGCAGAATTCACAGAGGCAGAGTTCTACTGCTCAGAGGAACAATTCCAAGTCAGTCAGTTTAGCTTCCTTCCAGACATAGCCCTACCCCTCTGTCAGCACCCAAATGCCTAAAGACCCCAAGCCGTCGTTAAAATGAAACACACTTAATAAAATCATGGATTTATATCTTTGCCGTTTATTTTTTAAAATCTTATTCAAAATATTAAATAATACAATTTCAAATATGAAAAAAATTACTGCAATAAAACAGTTCAGGTGTATTTCTATTGTGCTTCCCTTCCTTATCAGGACAGTAAATTGTCCACCTGGGAGAAATGATGGACTTCCATCTCTATACAAAGCACATACCCAATGACTCGCCTGGGCTTTATAGGTGGGTGTTTAAAGAATATTAGGGATTACATTTTCTGAAAACTTGTACAGTGACACTTTAAGTCAACCATGCTTCAAATCACATATTTACATATTGATCAATTCTTTATGACGGAAAGATAGGCAAAAATAAAATACAGTAAATAATTTCCAGTCGCTGTAAATAAACAAGGAAAATAAAACAAGTACAAGGGGAAAAAAGGTCAGTGTACACATATATCCTTTATGTATACAAACAACTTCATTCAGGTATAATTAAAATTTGAAAGACCTCGATACAGTATTATATAAGTGATACTGGCCTCTAAGATTTATTCAAACTTACTATAAAATAATAAACAAAGAAAGCAAATCTCATATAATTTTCCATTTTGCCCCTTGCATGAAGACTTGGAGGAACCCGTGCTACAATCAACTGCTAGCTAAAAGCGACTGCATATGTATTTAATATTTTACCACAATTCCTACCTCTGAATTTAATTCAGGAATTCAAACAAAAAATATCCCTATAACATTTATCTATGCCCACTGCAAGTTGCAAAGTTTCTATTGCCAGAATTTCTGGACACATTTAATGTGTTACCTAAAAGTGTGGTCAATTTGAGCAATATCATCATCTTAAATTATGCTTAAACTATCCAAAAATATCCAGAGCAGTTTTCCTGAAAGAAAAAATTATTACTTAAATGCAAAGTATTATCACATATATCCTTGTACATGCCAGTTTGGAAGCACAAAATAATGTGTGCTTAATAGTATTTGGATGGCAGAGAGAGAATCAGAGTCCAGCAGTACCAGGTATGTTAGGATTTTGTTATAAGTTTGGGATCTTTTAAAAGTAACATTACAAATACTTCCAGAAGTACGTAAAGAAATATAAAACAAAAAAACTAACAGAGTAAATATAAGGTAATGCTCAGCTCTACATTTTGGACACCTGATTGAATTCAGCTCTAAAAGTGTAGATAAAAAATTATATACTCCTTGTTTGTGAATTTAATTTGCAAAACACCAAGGCAAAATAAAGAGGGACCCACCTCCCATTTAAGTACCAACTGCCTATGGCAAATATCTGCACAATATCATATAAAAAGTCAAGCAAATAAAATTACATAATAAGCAAACTCAAATCACAGTACTTTAAAAAATATAATCATTGGTAATCTTCAGAGAAGGCATTGCCTCATTAACATTCTGGTCGAGACGATGATATTCCACTGTTTTGGAACAAAGACCATCACGCCATTTCCTGCTTTGAACCAGAAGAAAAATCTGAAATAAAACAAAATTAATTAGATATGCAAAAGAAAAAATGGAGGATACGGTACAAGTTTTTATAACAATTGAATTCTCTCTCTCCTACATTCCCAAATACAAAGAGTAAAAAACAACAACAAAAAGGCTATTTTGCTTTCTATCTTGTAAACAAGGCTAGACAGTGCTTCTCAAATTTTTATGTATATAAGGAGTGCTTGTTAAAGACTCAGATTCCTGGGCTTTACTTTCAGAGGTTGAGTTAGTAGATTTTAGCAGAGCCCAGGATCCCACTTATTTAACAAGTCCCTTAGGCGTTTAGAAGAGAGATGGCCCAACTCTAAACACCAGGATAAAATACTACTGTCATTCAAAATTTTAACCACTGAAAATATTTACAAAGCTAGCTGTAAGAAGACACTGAGCTACCAAAAACCAGAAGAGTTTGTTTGTTTTTTTAACTCAAAACCACAAACAAAATATTAGGAGCACTGATCCTCAAAGCTGGAAGGCATTTCGAAATTATCTGGTCCAGTGTTGCCATTTCTCAGGTATGAAAATCAAGGCCCAAAGGGGAAGGTGACTTCCCCAAAATCACAAAGTAATTTACAGTAAAGTCAAGAACTGAGATTTCCTGATCAATAAGCTTTACAAAGGAAATTGTGTGTATGATTTCCAAGTAAATATTTTGAAAGGCTGAACTATTCCAAGATGCACCCCCACATTAAATTATCCATCCAGTCCTATTTAAGCGTTCTCTGCCTAGTGTAATTCAACAAACATTCTTATGTCACTTAAAACATGGCAGAATTATATTTCTGTACAGAAATGTTCATCATGATACTGTTTCTGAACCAAAAACTGGAAACAATCTAAATGTGCAACAAGGAAAACAGCTGACTAAAATCATGCAGCTATTAAATCATCTTTTTAAAGAATATTAACGATATGGAAAATGTTCATGATTTCTTAGTTAAAAAGATAAACATCACCATATGCGATCAAATTCATTTAAAATTTATAACATACACATATATGTGTATATTTACACACATTTATAGACTAGAAATACACCAAATATTACTAATGCCCAGCACTAGGTGGTAGCTTAAGTTTTCTGTACTTTTATTTTCTGAACTCCCTAAAATAAATAGCTAATACTTTTAAAAACACGAAAAAAAAATGTTATTTAAAAAATAATTAAGTTCAATGCTAAATGAATTAAAAGACAAAAGTATTAAATTAATCTTTCTCCACAAGTATACTCACTGAAGTAGCAATGCTAAATCAAGATATGAAACCTTTTTTTAAAAAATAATGAGGCTTTGCTTTTCTCATTAAGAAATAATTTGAACTGGAAATGGTACAACCAGAACAGAATGAATGAGAATAAGGACACACTGTGAAAACTGTAACCAATATCACTGATTAATTTGTGTAGAAATTATTAAATGGGAACATAATTTGCTATCCAAATTTTTACCTTAAACACAATAAAATATTATCAAAAATTTGACTACTTCTTTGCTTAGAAGCACATGTAGTCAAGTATTCTTCAATTTGGTAAAATACAGATTTATAAACTGAATAGACATCTCACTATTTACTTTCAATTTAAACTTGACTTAAAAAATTTTAAAAACCCTGAATCTTCAAAAGCATTAATAAGACATATGACTGAGATAATAAAGGGCAACTAGAGGGGCTGAAAAATTTCCAACATACCTTCCTTTTGTTGTGATATGTAATGTAAACAACAGCAATACAAAAAGCAAAAATAAGAAGATGAAAAAAGAAATGGCTATCTTCCTCTTCTATATTTGAGGATGGGGTCTTAAAGGATTTCACTGACTGTTCAATTTCCATGTATCCCCTGTTTTCTTCCAAGGTCTCCTCGGACTCATCGTCCCTGGGGCTGGCGGTCCAGTCGTAATCTCCATAATCTCCATTGTCCTGAGTGTCTTTGGCTGTGGCTGGAGAACTATTCAGTGTGAAAAGAACCTCCTCCTCTATGTTAGGATCTTCATTGTTATCAGCGTCCTCTTGGGGCAGAGAAGTAGTAGGTGAGAGATGAGGGGCCACAGATGCTCCTCCACTTTTCTGTGTACTAGTTATGGGAGGGACAGTAGTACTGATCTGGGAAGCAGAAGATCTGGTTTGGTTTTCACGTGTTAAAGCGCTCGCATTTGCAGTAAAAACATCTGGGTTGGATACAGCTTGGCTTGGTGAATCAGCCAGTGCTAGAGCTGTAATAAATTAACAAAGAACATTCAACTACAATCTCCAACTTTATCTCCACAAAGTTAAAAGCATATTTACCTCAATTTTCACAGGCCTATCACTTAGCACTTCTCTCTCCTAAATTCCTACAACTTTCTCTTGAGAGCTAGTTAATAAGCCTCAACAGACAGCAATCAGTTACATTTCTTTCTAGTCAATTATGAATCGGGTAACAATTGCTTTGCCAGATAATAACAACTTTCAGCAGCATAAAAGACCTACTTCATTACACAGCCTGCCACCAAAAGAAGAGAGAGGTCTGATTTATTTAGGTCACAATGGCAAAGTCCACACAGCTCTTACCCATGCCCTGTTTTTATTTCACAAGGAGGTTAGACTGAAGTCATCCTTGCCTCAACTCCACCCCATCACAGACAGACTGTGGCTGATTCTGGCTCAAGCAGGTCACAAACTAAATATGGAATTCAGACCTAAATGCTTTCATCAAGATACAACCAATTCAAGAGAAGCTATACGCAAGTGTAGACAGTATTTCTATGTAATACTAGAACTGGAAGACTCCCTCCCCCAAATTAAAAAAAAAAAAAAAAAAATCGTTAAGTATTCTTAGGGAGAAGAAAGGGAACACTCCTAAAGGACAAAAATGGGAACTAGAACTTGAAAGCTAAGTGTGAATAGACTATTTCAAAGATTATGAAAGGCAAATTAGGTTATAAGGAATGGTACCAAATACACACAAGCTCTTATTTCTCTATGTTCCTACCCACTCTGCATGGTTTACTAAAGGTAAAATTATTTACATAAGTAATTCTATATACCAAAACTTCAGAGGAATCCCTGCTGAAATTTAATAGTGTCTCATTAGATACTAATCTGATGTAATACCTGTTAAAGGAGTTCATACTTTAAAAAACATGACTCTGTCACGAGACCTAAATATACTTAGATAATATTTTACAGTCTACCAAAGTAAAATATTTCACAGTATTAAAGATTAAACCAAGTCATTCCAGGGCTTTCACAAACGTGTGCATGCACACAAATTAACAATCTAACAGACAACTCTTTGTTTATGTGAATACACTCTGGTTTGTGTATCACAGTTGACGTCTATTTCACGTAGAAAGAAAAGAAACAGCTGGTCTCAACTGAACTGAATAGAGGCTCCCAGAAAATACTTAGTAAATTGGTAAAACTCTGTTAAAACATTTCTAATAGTTGGTTCTTTGAAATTTTTAACTGGAAGAAAAGAGAAATAAGCAGGTCCTACAATAGAGTACATTACTCAGATAACTATTAACAGGAATTATTAAAAAGGATTTTTTACATTTATCACCTCAACGTAATGATTCAAGCATTTATGAAGTACAATTTCTCTGATACATTTTCCTGCCAAAATGTGGGAAAATATGTTTAAAATAAAATTAAAATAACTGAGTGCCAACTAGCTAATCTTGATTTTTAAAAGAATTGTTTTTCTACACTCAACTTTTGGGATAATCATGTATCTTTAAAGGACACAGCTAATACAGGTGGGCCTGATTATAATTCTATCCCCATCTCCCACTCTCTCCATGCCCAGAAACCCCTCCACTGTGCACTCTAGATTCACAGTCAGCAAATCTCTTCCTTCTCTCACCCTTTGATTTCTTGTTATAACTGAAACTTGCCTCTCCCTGAAGGACATGCTTTCCTTGTAGCCCTTTCAATTAATAGTTGTTTTTTCTCCCATACCTTTGTACCACTGAGTCTGGAGAAGGGGACCTATCCTCCTCCTCATTGCCCCTTGCAGGCCATTTCCCCTTCCTCCTCCCTAAATGCCCCCAGCTTTGATTCTCATGTTATCTGCTATCACTCACTGCCCTTCCTCCACCAACTCCCAGCTCACATCCATTTCTCAATCATTTTCACTCCTGTCTTATTCTCATTCTACCCGAGACATGTACTCCTGTCTTGATTTCAAAATCCTTGACCTCCTCACCTCTGACGATCTAGCCCCCTCCCCCCTTATCTTGGCCTCTCACTCCCATGGTCATTATCTAACATCACAACTCCTCCATAATCTCAATTTCAAGTATTCCATTCACTAGCATGATCTCCTGTCCTTCCAGTTTATTCTCTGATACTCTGATTCCATCAGATCTGCCATCCTTTGATCCTGCCATCTTTTCAGTCCCTCATCGCCACCACCACTACCTCTCCCCTCCACCATGCACTCTCTTCCCTCTTTACCCAGATTAAATTCTGAGATCAACCATTATAATCTCTTTTACATACACCTCCAACTCCAACTCCCTTCCCCCTCATTCGCTTTGCCCCACTCACTTGGAAGGCTACAACCCTAGTTAAAACCAACTCTCTTGACTACTCCCCATCTGCACCTAGCAGATGAACATAGCTGGAAAAAAATACACAACGATGTCACTGTTTTTATTTCATTTTAAATTCAATGCCAAAAACTCAGGCAGACTTTGAATGATGCTAGCAAGCATATTGTATTTTCCTAGTCCATTTACCTTCCTGCTCCCTTAGAACAACATTCACATTCTCCTCTATACTCAAACTTCCAACATCTTCTATGTCATCGTTTTTCAAATGATGACATCACTTCCTAACTTTTGAGAAAAAGGAAGTAATCAGAAGAGGATTTCCATGAATTACTAGAACTCTAGACTCATATATCCATCTGCCTACTTGACATTTCCTCTTAGATGTCTGACATTCAAATCAACACGTTCAAAAATGAATTCTGACTTTGAATCCCAGGAAGATGAATTAGACATACATTTCCCTATTCCTCCTGCTAAGAACAACTAAAAACCTTGGACATTATATATAAAAATAACTTAATCCTCTCAAGCTCGGCGTTTCGCTAGTGGGTACCCACAGCAGGTCAACATGCGTATCGAGAAGTGTTATTTCTGTTCGGGATCCATCTACCCGGGCCACGGCATGATGTTCGTCCGCAACGACTGCAAGGTGTTCAGATTCTGTAAGTCCAAATGTCATAAAAACTTTAAAAAGAAGCGCAATCCTCGCAAGTTCAGGTGGACTAAAGCGTTCCGGAAAGCAGCTGGTAAAGAACTTACAGTGGATAATTCATTTGAATTTGAAAAACGTAGACGTGAACCTGTCAAATACCAGCAAGAGCTATGGAATAAAACCATTGAAGCAATGAAGAGAGTTGAAGAGATCAAACAGAAGCGCCAGGCTACATTTATAATGAAAAGGTTAAAGAAAAATAAAGAGCTACAGAAAGTTCAGGACATCAAAGAAGTCAAGCAAAATATCCATCTTATCTGGGCTCCCCTTGCAGGCAAAGGAAAACAGCTGGAAGACAAAAAATGGTACAGAAATTACAAGAGGATGTGGATATGGAAGATGTGTCTTAAAAATCTCATTGTAACCATTTCTAGATGTGCATTTAAAAACTCCTTTGAAGATTTGGAACTTCTAAATGATTGATTTATTTTTTACATAAGGTCACTCAAATGTGATTAAAAGTAATGTCTCTTCCATTACTATCTGTAAAACATCAGATGTTATGGATGTTTGATTATATCTCAGTGTTAAATCTTCACTGATAGATATACTTATGTAAATCACGAAAATTCTGTTTATAATTACAGAAGTGAATTGTGAGCATAAAATGGTCTACATTTGGATAATGGCACTATGCGGCATTTCTGTAGTGACAAAATTCATGGCTAATGATATAGAAAATAAAATTTTCTTTGCAGTTAAAAAACAAATAAATAAATAACTTAAGAAGACTCTGAAAGGTGGAGAGAAGGCCATGTGGCTAGAAACCTAGAGTGGGACCTGAGAAATGACATGGTGATAAGGTCCCTAGGTTTTCTTTTTGCTTCATGTGTACCAGACTTGGAGATGAAAAAGCCAGCAACCTGGACATGCCAACGCATGTAGACAAAAAGGGTCACCACCAACCCTGCTCTCTCTAGCAAAAGAAGCAGGAGAGTAGCAGCCTAGCAAGAAAGAAAACTTTTAAACAATAACATTTCTACCTCTACCTGGAAGTAACATGCGCGCCCCACTTCCCCTGCTAAAACAGCATCATAAAGAGCCGGCTAAAACAAAGTTTAAATAAGATCCAGAGTCTCATAATATAAAACAAAAATGTTCAGATTTCAATCAAAAATCACTTGTAACACCAAGAACCAGGAAGATCTCAAACTAAACAAAAAAAGACAACCGTAGATGCCAAAACACAGATAACATAGATATCAGAAATATATGACAAAGATTTTAAAGTAGTCATCATAAAAATGCTTCAACAAGCAATTACAAACACGCTTGAAATAGATGAAAAAGTAGAAAGCCCTAGCAAAGAACTGGAAGATAAAAAGACCCAAATAGGTATTTTAGAACTAAAAAATATAATCAATTACCCGTTTCTCCATCAGTCCAGAAGGACGTTGGTGTTGAGGGAGAAGAACCACCATGTCTTCCAGTGTTTTGGCAAAACCTCAGATACGAGGCCTTCTGGTCAAGTGGCTGTGATTTCACATTACTGGAGCATTCATTGCGTCCCTGGGGGTTGCAACTTTCTACAAGTTTGCAGTAGCTGAACCAAGAAAGAAGGCATATGCAGATTTTTATAGAAATTATGATTCCATGAAGGATTTTGAGGAGATGAGGAAAGCTGGTATCTTTCAGAGGGCAAAATGATTTTGGAATGTAAAGAATTTCTTTGGATTGAGTTCCATGAAAGTTGTCACTGACCTTATGTGGGCTAAGGAATAATTTCTTGTTGGTAAATAAACAATACTTTGGACAGTAAAAATATATATATATAATCAATGAAATAAAAAAAACTCAGTGGATAGGTTCAATAGCAGAAGGAAGGGGACAGAGGAAAGAATCAGTTAACTGGAAGATAGAGCAATAAAAATTACCCAATCTGAATAACACAGTAAAAACAGACTGGAAAAAAAAAAAAGAACAGAGCCTCAAGGACCTGTGGGACTATAACAAAAGATCTAAC